TATTTCTCAATTTATGAACATCCATTTTCAATATTTTTTCAGGTTCTTCCACATATGTCAAATCCTTCTGAAGTTTAATATCATTCTGAGGAATCCTTTGACTTTCATCTGTCACCCACTTTATGAGCATTGATATATGAAAATCATTATGTATCTTGAACATATCTGAAGTTAGAGCCAATTTGTAAGCTACTTGTCTCACTCTTTCAAAATTTTTAAATGTGTTAGAAGATACAACACATAAAACAATAAAATTTGGAATCATCAAAACTATACAAGTTGCAAGAATGTAAAACATGCAAATAGCAACTTTCCTAACAATCTCCCCCTTTTTGATGATGGCAAAACAATTATTGTTTGTATAATTTCAAATTTTAAGAATCTCTTAAACTCCCCCTGAATTAATGAACATATGAAAATAAGGAGGCATTAAAATTATTTTTATTTTCAAAATTTTTAGAAATACAAAACAAAACAAGCACACATACACTAAACAAAATAAACACACAACGATACGAATACACAAGACACAACAAACAATTTCTCCCCCTTTTTGACAACATCAAAAAGTGAAGAAGAAAAAGACTAGAAATGTAAGCAGACATATGAAAATCATTTAAAAATTTAACCTTTAAAGTGATTGACATAAGGTATGCAAAAAAATTAAAAATTAGCAAAAATTCTAAATTCATAGAATTTAAGAAGTTGATAATATTGTAACTAGAAGAATTTATCAAAGACATGATTCAATTTAGACATTGAGATAAAGAAAATCATTGCAAGAAAGAATGTATTAAAAATTGTATATTTCAATTCAATAAAAATATAAATGAAATAAGATTAATTTGAATAAAGAGATTAAAAAATAAGGAAGAAATAACACACCATGTGGCGCTTTGCGCATCTTTTTCAATTTTGTGGCACATTTTTATGCATCTTTTCACTTTGTTGGGCTATTTTGTGCCTCTTTTTCACACTTGCCGCAATTCTTTTGATTTTTTGTACATTTGTAAAATTTTCAGGTAATTGTATTCTTTCCAAAATCAATAATCTAAAATTTCAAATCTTTCTAAGTGCAAAATATTAATTGATAAGTGAAATACAAAATAAGAAAAACATCACAATTGCAATAATTATATTAAAATTAATGTAGTCTAATAAGAGATGAAATTGACAATCTTAATAATATCAGTTATAAACAACTTAAATTTAAAAAATTAGATTTTCATTAATTCAATTTTATGTTGCAGTTTTAAAGTATAGCACTTGTAAGATCAAAAATTTAAGGTTTCTTCATATAGGCTAACGAATTTTCAAACATAGAACAAAACTCACTTAAATATTCAAAACATTTAAAGCATACAAGTCAAAAACACAAGTATATAAACTATAAAATATTTCATATCACATTCCAAATGTCTCACAAAAAAGTTCGTTCTCAACATTTTACCCGTATAGCCATTTATATGCGTACAAAAGAAGAAATACAAATCATCTAGGACGAATCAAGAGATCGTACAGTACGATATGTATTGAAAAAATTTAAACAATACGCAATCAGTCAAAACCAACTATCAATTTGCTACAGAAATCGTACAGTACACAAATATATTTCATCCAGTACGAATAGAGTACTTAGAAAATTTGCATGACGATCTAAAACAGGGAATCTTTGTTATGACATTTCAAATCATACAAAACACAAAAAAAAATAAAGGTAGAAAACATAAACACAAAATAAATATATAAAATAAAAAACATAACACAAAAACACTAACAAAGGGTTAAACATCATTTTTGCTCCTGGTCATGATAATTCAGAAGCTAGATCTGCCCAGGAGATTTTTTTGCTTTTCATTATTTTCCATTTTATAATTTGCTTAGCTTTGCCCTTTTCTTTAGCAGGAAGAGTTCTCCAAATTTTGGGCACTTACTTTTCAGATGTACAATTTCCTACATCCAAAGCAAAATAATATTTGAAGAATTCTAAACATTCTTACAATTTTTACCTTTATTCCACTTTTGTTGATGCTTATGCTTGTGCTTTAGTTGACCTTTTCAATTTGCTTGTTAAGTCATCGCTTCCTCACCAACTAAGCAACTTTTCTCCATGTCTTCCTTTTATACTCTCAGTTCTTTATTCCCAAAAGGCTGCTTAAAATACTTGTGTTGTTGTTTGCTCTTGTGTGATATATATTTCAGGAAATCAAACTCCAATACGTAAGACTTCATCTCTCAACACTTTGAGAATTTGAAGCTTGTACTTTTATTGAATATAATTATGAGAGGGAGTGTTTGTAATTGAGTGAATTATTCACACACACTTAAAGACTCTTGAAAAAGTTTTTACTGATCCAGTATGAGGACGAACATTGTTCGTACTGGACGACATATCAGTTACTCCTTGTAAAGCGCAATGGAACGGACAGAAATTGACCAAGGAATTTTTTAATTTATATCGTTCCTACGGGACTAAATTAATTATCGTCGGGACGATTTGCTCTCTGTAAGAATTTCGTCCCAAACGCAAATTAATTATCGTCAGGACGATTTGCTCTTAGACGAAATTCGTCCAGACATCACAGTTTCGTACAGACGATCAAACCGACTTAAGACAATTTCGTGAGTCAGTTCTGAAGTTTTTGGAACCGACCTTATGATAATGTTCGTTGGACGAACCCTCGTTCGTACAGGCGATTAGCGTGTACGAAATTATTTCGTACAACATATGCAAACAGGTTCGTTCAAGGCTTTTAAGTAAAATCGTCCGGAACGATTTTCAATCGTACGGACGATCTTGTACATGATAACTTGAAATCTGCCGTTTCTTAGACGTAATTTTCTGTTCCATATTCTCTAATAGGAGGAGTCTAGAACATTACAAGTGCCCTTTGGAGTTGTTTTCTCTTGAGAGGCGATCATTGAGAGTGAGATGTTGGAGAGAGATTTAGATGTGAAGAGTGAGAGATCAAGTGAGGGGTTTGTGAGGATTCACAAGGTTACTTGAAGAAGAAGATCTCTTTGTTCTTCCCATCTCCTTTGAAGGCTCTCAAGTGAAGTTCAAAACATTGGTCCGGTTCTATGCCGACACTTGGAGAGTTAAATGACGACTAAATGTATCTTGACAAGCCATTGTGTCTTCGTTCTTTGGGAGAAACTAGAAGAAAGAACTTGAAAGGGAGGAGGAGAGGTGGAAAGGGTGGACGTTGAGAGGAGAAGATCCTTGAAGGGGATTTCAAGGGAGTGTGGAGGGGATATTCACACGGTTGCTCCGGCGAACTTGCACTTTCAGTACATCATTCAAGGGTCGTCTTGAGGGAGAGTTTTGGCGAGAAGAATATCCTCTTTGGTGTCAAAGAACCCGGCTACTCCGCCGCACCGGTGAAGGTGAAAGTGATTTTGTACAGGCTTCTCCGCCTTGCTGTGGGGGAAAAGGAGAGTCACTTTGTGGTATTAGTGCAATACTCGGAGGGTGCCTCCGGGGAGTGGACGTAGGTCAAGGTTTGACCGAACCACTATAAATTGGTGTGTTCTTTCTTATTTTTCTTACGCATTTAATTTAATTGAAGTTATTTACTCTGGTTGAAAAGTTTAATTTTTAAACTTTATTTAACTTGCATTAATAATTAAAAAGATTTTCTTAAATCCAAGAGTAGAAGTATAATTTTTAAATTACCAATTCACCCCCCCCCCCCCCCCGCCTCCCCCTCCTCTTGGTTAGCCTTGGGACATTTAATTAGGCTTAACATCCTAATTCATATTGAACGAGTTCCAACAAAATGGACCAATAAATCTAGGACTGAGTTTTCCACCTTGGCCAAATCTAGAAATACCTTTCATTGGTTTCACTTTCAAAAATACAAAATCTCCCACATCAAATTCTACAATTTTATGCTTGGAATCATAATATTTCTGTTGACGGTCTTGGGCTTCTTTTAATATATCTCTGATTAGTCGAACCTTTTCAGTAGCTTGATATACCAATTGCGGACATAATAATTGTCTTTCACCCACTTCCACCCAACTCAATGGAGTTCTACACTTTCTACCATATAAAGCTTGGTATGGAACCATCTTGATACTGGATTGATAGCTATTATTATAAGTGAATTTATTAATGGAACATGATCTTCTCAGCTACCTCCAAAATCCAGAATACATAATCTTAACAGTTCTTCCAACACCTGAATTAGTCTTTAAGATTGGCCATCATGATTGAAGGAAGCATCAATGGAGACGACTGATATCAATGTATAGCTCATGTGTAAGATGAACTTTGATAGCAATATGGATAAAAGGTAAAGGGGGGATTTACATTATCATATTCACTTATATAATATTTTAGCATCTCAGTGGCATCAAATCATAAATGCAAAGATATGTGCCACATTAACAAAGCATATATTAATGATATGATTATTATTATTTAAATACTTATATATTGTGCTGATCTGCTAAAAGATATGATAATTGAACAGCTAAACAGAAGAGAACAAAAGCGACATGATATGCTCATCTGCTAAAAGATGCCATTAAAAAGAACCCATAAGTCATAAATCACCGTCTCTCACATGCCTGCTTGTGTTTCAAAGAAAGAAAGAGAGAAAGAGAGAGGGAGAAGTGCTTTGTAGTGGTCCAGGCTAGAAGCATTGCCCTTTTCTTTAGGCAACTTTTATGTACAGCAGTGTGGCTACATTATTGCATCCAGTGGAAGCTTTTAATCCTGCGTAGCGGGGCTCTTCTTATCTGCATTCAATTATCTCACCCTTTTAATTTTCTAAAATAATGCAGCAGATTTGCAATTTAATACTTACTACATTTATATTTACCATTTATACCCCACAAGTCCTTACCAAAACAATCTTCTTCTTCTTTTTTTAACATTATTATGACAACAGCAGAATCAATCCCAGGGAGTAGCTTCTGTAAGTGAAGATCTTTTATAACACAATTGACCAGCAGGCTTAAGAAATTTTAAATACAACACAAGCGAGGGGAGATACAGTGCCAAACAATTTATTTATATATATTGAAATTACATGATTCCTTAAATACATCACATGAACCTACAGGAGACTTGTATTACAACAAATCAAACTCCAAGAATAAAATTAAGTCTACAGGTCAGGAATCACATGAACGACTCTGACCATTTAACTCAAATTCCAATAGTTAATACCAATAGTACAACTGGCTTTGAGATGATAACAACCAACCATCCCTCCAAAAGTGAGGAAGAACACAAATCGGAAACAATACAGAAATCACTGATAAAATTGCCTTCAAATAAGGCAAAAAAACAAAAATCAGAGGAATGAAATCAAAGTCATGCTCTCTAAAAAATTTAATAGCACATCAAGTGGTCAAGAAATGCCATAGCTTCTTTCCAATTGAAGTATTCTGCTTCTCAGAATCCTCATCATCACTCTCAGACCCCCCATATGAAGCAGTATTTTCGGTATGTGCTGATGCAGCTCCTCCGTCCACTTCTTCTTCCCGATTTTCTGCAGTCTGCTCGCTGAACAGAGCATACTCAACAATACCGCCATCATGAAGGAGATTATGGCTTTCGTGCTGCGAAACCACAACGAAAATTGCTTCAGAAAGGCAGTCCACACAGACTAATTTCCATAAGCCCCAACTTATTTAAGTCGAAGCATAAGAAACAAAAAGAATATGAGGCAAAAAGTGACTGTTGAGACATCATCATTAGTTCATGAATCTAAAAATGTCAAATAATATGTTAAAGCTGAATGTAAATTGTAAGGGTAACTTATAAACGCTGAAACTTTTGCTCGTATGTAACTCTTTTCCACTATGGTACCGGGAGGTGGATAACAAGCTAACAATAAATAGGGACCTATTTGTGATCTTTTTTTTTTTTAAATCATGCATGTTTAATGTATTTTATAAATATTTTTGCGTTAAAAAATAAATTAAGTTGTTTTTAAAAGCACACAAAATAATTTTGAAGTATTTTTAGCATTTTTAAGATCAACTATCCCAACTGCCATTGTCCTGGGCCTTGTCAGCTGCCACCACCCCACCGAGGACCACCGCCACAATCATATTAATTAAATAATTTGATATTCAATATAAATAAAAACAAAATATTTTTTAGATATCAAATATTTATTTCATGTAAATGTATAAATAAATAAATAAATGATCATAAACGGGTCTTAAAGAACTTAAAAACCTTCATAATAAAATGGCCATTCATACGCAACCATTGTTACCAAGTGGCTGCCGAACCTTTAAGATGAAAAGAAGCGATCCGAACACAATGGTATTTGGGTGTATTATGAAATGAAAATATTATTGTGCTTTAAAGATCCAAATTTCTACATCTGTCCCATAAAAACGATGAAGTTCATTTTCATGATTTTAAGAAAAGAAAAATTTGTAGGTGGGGATGGGTGATGAGATGTTATTTGGTTACCCGATCCTAGAATGCCAGCCGAAGATCCAATTCCTTGATGGGGTGAGGTGTGAGGTTGGCCAGTGCATAAAGTATCAAGGCATTTGTCAATAGAGTCCATGAAAACATAGAATTGTTGGAGAGATGTGCCAATGAATAAAAATTGGAGATCATCTTGTTAGAGGGATTTTTGGATTTCTGAAAATTATAATTCTTGATTGGTTTTGGCTGCTTTAAAAAATACTTGTGTGAAAACTGCTGCTGTTCTTGGTGTTCTTGAACAGGGAAATGTGGCCGGACCAAAGGGCTGAAGCAATGCTGCAGATGATGCATGGCTGTGGAGAATGCGGCTGGAAGACTGGCAAGGCTAGGCTGACGACAGACTGCAGGGGAAGGGTGCTGATCAGCTGGAAGAGGAGAAAGGAGGAGGGTTTAGTGAAACAAGAGCACCATTTGATAAGTTTCTTAAAGGGTTAAGAAGATGAGGCATCTTTAGAGTGGGTGTAAACTCCGAAGAAAGATGAAGAGAAGTGTGGAAGAAGGGAGAACAAAATATACAACTAGAGAGATATTTATAATACTTAGACCGCAAGTTACTAAAGAATTGTTCTACCTAAAACAAATAAAAGAAATACTGTACTGATGTTTTATTACATGTCGACCAATTTTTCATTTATGTTATCAAAACTATATTGTTGTCACTTGGGAGTTGTAGAATATGTTTGCTCTTTCTTCTTTGATAGACTTTCATAATTGTTGATTATTCTACCCTGTTTGTAGCCCATTCTGAGCATTTGAATTGTACTATTTTCAGATCAAATACAATATGCTAATATTTAACAGCATGCATGTTAACAAAACATTAACAAATAGATGAAGACGTGAAAATTCTTCTTGCAAAGGGAAATCAAAAAACTTCCTAAGAAATATTAAAAAATAACATAGGAAAGGACTACATGTGCAGACATTAGGTTAACTCAATCATAACCTCAAAATCAAAATATGGATGAGCTTTTCAAAGACACAAAAAAAGGGTTAACCAAGCTGCTGCACAATCATATACCTGAACTCTCTCATTCGAATTAACTTCCAGAACAGTTGGAAAGGCAGATTTCTGCAACAAATGAGCAGAGCTTTCCAAAGCGCCCGATGGTACTGTATCATGGCAGGAAATTCTTTCACCACCATGTCCACCGTCTCTAATATTGTTTTCAGGTAATGCCTTAAAGCTTCCAGCATTGGCTGCTTCTTTCTGATGTGATTTTGCCTGGGATGCCGCAGCTGTACTTGCACTGAAACAAAAACAATAAGTCAAGTTTATGTGAAAAGGTATATATATATATATATAATAATATAGTATTATATATAATATATATATATATACACTTATATATATATATATATATATATATATATATGGAAAAAACAATGAACAAAAATGAATGCATTGTTAGAGTATTGACAGACAATTAACTAATAATTTATTGATGATGCATTTTTTTCACAGCCATTATTTTACTAAAAAAAAGGCATAATATAAGTGTGTGTATAGTTGGCATATGACAATTAACTAAATAATTGTCACCGTATTGTTTCTACCTGCTAATCATCAGAAAATAGTAAAATATGTTTTATGCAGAATTCAAATACATCACCATAATAAAAATGTGGATCGAATATTACATACCATTACCAAATATAATTAAATACATATATTTAGAAAAGCCAAAAACATATTTCACATGAATATTATCACGATAAAACTTATTTGTAAAGTTATAAAAGTCATTTTACACAATTTTAATCCAGGTAATCGTTACTCTCTGGTCAGGCAATCTTTGGTAAGTATCAAACTACTTGTTGAAATCAGGGATTTGAGAAGGAAAAATCATAACTTCATTATACAACATCATCCCTTATTTATAAATCTATACAAGAAGGAAACAAAAAACTACATAAATAATGAATAATTGTTGAATATAATCCTTCCTAAATCAGATGTCTAGCTATGGAAGGTAACTCAATGTGTAATATCCAATACATAATATATATATATATTATATATATATATATATATATAGTATATTATATTATATATATAAATATATATATATATTTTTGATTACCTTATATAAGTATATAAAATACTGATAAATGAAATTGTAGAAAATATATTAATATTTAATTGGCATAACTTTATTTTATTATAAATGGAAGGATTAGGTGCTTTCAAAGGATTGGGAAGTAGTTAACTTAGGCCCTCCATTCCATGAGAAATTCGGTGCTAGTTGGGCCCTCTCAATTCTCTGTGTTGGATTTTCCACGCACAAGCAAAAGAAGATAAGGGGAAGGAAGTTTACGTGGAGAAGTGGAAGCCAAATCAGGAAATTAATTCCTATAGAGAAACCTTTTGACATTCCTTGTTAGAGAGGCAAAGCATTTCAGTTGGATTTTTGTAGAAAATTAGGAATTGTTTAGTATTAATGCAAGGAAATCACCATCTTTCTCTTCGGCATAGTGATTAGAGCCTGTAGCAATATTCAGGCAACCAGTCCAGTGGCAAGTAGCTAGGCACGGTGAAAAAAAAAACAATATGTTTAGAAATTCGCAGAAAACACATTAGCAAATTCGCTACATGAATTCAGGCTAGTTTGTGAATCGCTCTAGGAAATTGTGGCGAGTGAAGCAGAAATTCAACACTGTTTTCAAACCACTATTGCCAAGGAAAATTGGAGAAGTTATTCGACACATTCTGGGAGGCAAGTTGAAAGGTTAATATTGAGAAAATCATTGCAAGGTTTTGAATTTTGATAATGGACTTCATGTGCAAATTGGTTTGATTGCAGTGTGCAATTTAATTTTAAAAATCATAATTTGGATAGTGTTTTTGAGAGCAGTAGTAGAAGAAAAAGTGGAGTAAAAACAATAGATAGAAGAAGAAATATATTCATTTGGTTTAGCAAGAAGTAAGATTACGAGGTAAATGACTATATCTATGTAGAATTGTATCTTTATTGAACCATACTTATTGAGTACTAAATTTCATTAATTACCAAAGTAAAGTGATGACTTGTAGGTGACTTACAATCGTAGGAGAATACGAAGTAGAGGATTGGAAGAGACTCTTCACCAAAGAGGTAAGTAATGCAAATTTAATGTTTAAAAGAATATTGTCAAATTCTACTTGTAGATTGATAATTGATTGTTAGTGCCTGATTGAAAGAAAGGAACTTATATATTGCAAGTAATTTATTTTGCTTTAGAATGTTTAATCCAAAATTTTAAGTATGAACTACTGCTAATAAAATTCTGTCATATGGGTTCAAGACAATGTTTTGTACGCTCATCTAAAGATTTTTCTATTTGAGAATGTTTTGGAAGGATGTCAAATTCCTTGAAAAATTGATGCATATTAATTTACACAAGATATGCCATGTGAATGATAATGAAGACTGATATGATATGAATTATGAAAGATTGTTGAATACTAAATTAATGTAAAGTTTGGCTATGAATAATATATGTGTTATCATTGTAGTTGGGACAAAAGGGTTCCCATATCGGAACTACATGGTACGTGGGGCAAAAGGGACCCCATAGAATTATGAAACCTGCATAGCAGGTGGGGCAAAAGGGACCCCAAAAGAGGCAAAAGGGACCTCTATGTAATTCAATAGCGATAATGCCAGGTTTACCTGGGCTCCATTGAATAATGTTATGAAAATATAGCCAAATCTTTCACATAAAATTTATATTAAACAAGGATTCAAAAGATAGCAAAGCATAATATTGATTATGACTTATAATGTTTCAATAATAATTTTGATGTTGTAATTATTCATGTTATACTATTGTAATTGCTAATTAATTCTGTATTACTTGCTGAGCCTCATAGCTCACCAGAACTTTCTTCTGGCTGTTATTACAGGAAAGGAAAAATAGAAGATTGATGCAAGCTAATTTATACAAGTGTTTCTTCATTTAATGTTAAAGTTACCTTTGTTAGTAAGTTTACTTTTAGAGGTATGAAATATTTCATTCTTGTATTAGTTGGTTGCTTTAATGGCTCTGTAAGTTTATAATTGAGTATTTAAATTATTAGATGCTTCATTTATTGTATTAAATGATATTTACAGGATATGTTATATATATCTGAAATGAAATGAACTTAATGAGATGTTTGGTGATGGAAATATTATGATTATTCTTGTTATACTCTACAGTACTGTTAAGGGGTACTGTGGGGTGTTACACAATGTGAGACAAGATAGCATCCCACGGATCTCTATCCTAAGCCATTGGATTCATACAGGAACTAGGGGCTGAGATTTAACACTCCCAATCAAGTTGGGGAATACAGATCTGTCATTCCCAACTTGGCAATCATTCTGAGAATGGTAGAGTTGTCTAATCCTTTAATAAGGATATCTGCAAGTTGATCTTTAGATGATACATGACTGATACATATTAGACCAATCTAATTTTTCTTTAATAAAGTGTATGTTCACTTCTATGTGCTTGGTCCTGTCATGCTGGACTGGATTTTGGGCTTTGTTGATTGTTGATTTGTTATCAAAATGTAGCTTCATGGGATCGTCCCAATTGATTTTAGGTCTTCTAGAATCATCTTAATCCATAGTAACTCACATATTCCCAGTATCATAGCTCTATATTTTGCTTCTGCACTTGATCTTGTCACCACATTTTGTTTCTTGCTTCTTCATGTAACTAGGTTCCCTCCAAGGAATATGCAGTATTCAGAGGTAAATCTTCTATCTACTGGTGATCATGCATAATTAGCATCAGTGTATGCTTCTAGGGTTATTCCGTGATCTCTTCTAAATTGAATCCATTTCCCTGGGTTTCCCTTAAGGTAATGAAGTATTTTGTCTATTGCTTGCATATGTGTTTGTTTTGGGTTTTGCATAAACTGATTGACCATACTTACATCAAATGCTATATCTAGTTTTCTGTGGGAAAGGTAGATCAATTTTCCCACAAGTCTTTGGTAAGCACCCTTGTCTACATCTAAATCTTCTTTACCTTCCTCCAATTTGAGATTTAGTTCTACTTGTGTTGGTGTTGGCTTACATGCTAGTTTTCATGTCTCCTTCAAAAAATCTCTAATGTATTTTTACTATCAGATGAAGATTCCTTTGCTGGAGTGAGCTACTTCAATTCCAATAAAATATTATAGTCTATCAAATTCTTTGATATCAACTTCCTTGGTAATATTTTTCCTTAGACTTACTTTCTCCTTTTCATTATTCCCAATCAAGATAATGTCATCCACACACACTAATAGTATTATAACTTCTCCTGAGTCTTGAGTGTTTAAAAAATAGTGTATGGTCCCCTTGATTTTGCTTATACCTATTAAGAAGCATGAATTTAGAGAACCTTCAAAACCAGACCCTTGGTGATTATTTGAGCCATATAGAGCCCTTTTCAGTTTGCACACCTTGTTACCTTCAGAATTTTCCTTAAATCCTAGTGGTATTTCATAAATATCTCTTCTTCCATATCCTTATGAAGGAATGCATTTTTACATCCAATTATTTCAAATGCCAATTGTAATTAGCTATTATGGAGAGTAAGATTCTGACAATGTTCATCTTGGCTACGGGTGCAAGGGTTTCCTTGTAGTTAATGTCATATGTATGAGTGTACCCTTTCACCACTAGTCTTGCTTTGTATCTTTTCATTGTACCATCAACTTTGTATTTTACAGAGAATACCCATTTGCAGCCGACTGATTTTTTCCATATCGGTAGGTTGATGATCTTCGATGTCTTGTTCTTTTCTAGGGATTGCATTTCATCTTTCATGGTATTTTTCAAATATTTATCAAACAAGGCCTCAGAAATATCATTAGGATATGAATATCGTCTAGTGTAACCAGAAAATTTTTGTGTGGGGAGAAAAAATTATTGAAGGATATAGAGTTTGTTATAGCGAATAAGGGAGGTGGTGAACTTAACTTGTTCTCAATGGATGATTCAGATTCTTAGATCTGCTTTGGAGCACAATTTGAACTTGGTACATCTGGAATATACATTCCCAAATCTAAGGATAGTTTTGTCTTCAGCTTCCCTATTTTGAATTTCAGGATGATTGGTTTGATGTGGTGGAGGAAGGTCAGGAGGGGCAAGTATACTTTCATCATCTTCCTCTATTTCACTTTCCCACAAAAGATGAGGTTTGGTAAAGTAGGAATTTTATTCATCAAAAGTGATATCAATGGATACAAACGCTTTCTTTGTAGGGGGGTGATAGCACTTGTAACCTTTTT